TTTCTTATAGTTCGCATGAACTGTTGATATTAATTCAAATACAACAAATTAATTCAATCATATCAACAACAATGTAGTCTAAGGCCAATCGATGATCCATCTACAACCAGAGAGTTTAACCTGATCTGTTGATCTCCTATGGCTTGTTCCATCTCATTGGCTATGGTAGCTAAAGTAAAGGATATGTTCCTAACTGTCTCTACAATGTGGAATCTGATGGCGGGGGACAATTTTCACACTGCTACATGAAAACAGGAATCCACATATCCCTCAGGTCAGACAGCATCGGACAGTCCTCTTTATCTGGGGTCCTAAAAAATGGAATGTGATCCAAGGAATGGTGTCATTGCCAATAATTGCAAGGGACAAAGAAGAGTTAACCAGCAGCCCCCAACCATGCCCAGTAGAGAGATATCCTGTGGCCCATTCTCTCCACATACAAACATATAACTGACAGGACAGGTTACTTTAGTTCAGACTTTGTCCATAAATTTGATTTGGATCACCATTACATTAATTTGGATAGTCCATATGAGCAGGGTTATCAAGTAGTTATAGCCTTGATAGCCATACATGGCATAACCCAAGAGCACTCAGGTGTCGGGAAAAACATATGAATTGGTATGAGCCTGACTAAAACAAGATCACATCTATCTGTGCATTTGTACATGGGCAAGGGGTTTCACATTTAGGAGTTTTCTCTGATAACATAAGACACAATAGAGTAACTCAGGGCCAGCCAAGCCCTTATGAGTTTTCCTGATCCCACAGCACATAGACCTACTCAGCAGTTGGTCAGGTTGGCAGTCAGAGATGCTTCTTGTCTCAGTGAACCACGTGATTGTCTTGCCAGGTTGTAGAGCTAGAATTTGGAGACAAAGAGAGGGTTCATTATTTCCCTCTCCCAGCACCTCCAACATTTAAGGAGTTCCTTCCCCAACTGAAGTGGGTAATTGTACCAAGGAGGCATGAAAGGGTTCTCCTTGTGGAGGCTGCCTCCTCCTATGGAGCTCAAAAGGGCCCCGGGGCTGGGGTGTTGGAACAACCTCCAGGGTCATAGGCTGCTTAGGTCCTCAGTCAAATTCAGCAGATTTTCTGATTAACTTTCAGACTCAACAAATGTATACACTGATAAGATACATATTATCTCCAATACCTGAATGGTGCAATTGTGAGACTGCCTTTCTGATGGTAGAGAGCCATAGTCCTCTTCTCTTTACTGTCTTTAGGATCAACTTTTGAGTTGTAGCCCACATCACTCCCAGAATTTTGACTTGGGTGGCTGGTCCCTATATCTTATCAGAATTAACAAGCTTTCCTGGGCTTCATATGAGTTAGCATCTGCTAACTTAATTAGGGCTTATCAAGATAATATCATCAATGTAGTAGGATCATGTCACCAACAAAAAGAGAGAGATTTGTTCTGTGTGCCAACCTACCTACTGGGGGCAAATATCAGGAGAGTTCAAGTATTACTACTACAGCACAGTATGTTCTGGAGGCTCATCTAGGTGAAGGATCTGGATCCTCCAGAGGCTAAAGCAGTTGAGAAAAAGATGTGACCAAAGTCCAGGATCACATACCAGGTGCCATCATGGGCAATTGCTTCAGTCATAGTCACAATGGCTGGAGTAGCCAGGTTGTAGGAACAGCAACTGAATTCAGTTGGCAATTATCCTGCATAAGCCTCCAGATCACCTTAGCTTTTTTCACTAGCCACACAGATCTACTATATTAAGATACTGTGTTTTTCATAAGTACTATTACATTTAAACTATGATTTCCTTTTCTTCTCCTGGAATTCTAAATTGTTTCTTTTATAGACCATGGAAGAGAAACTGAAGTGGAGGTGTGATCTGTTGTGCATGCATCTCCCACATCACCCACCTACAAGAGGCTCTTCCATATCTTCCATAAGAAGATCTCCTTTGGACATTATGAGCCTCACAGAACAAACATGTAAATTATCAATACCAATTACACATTCAGTCTTGGGAGCAACAAAAATGGTGCATAACAGGGGTCCAAACAGCCACTTCCTTTTCCCATTTGATTCTGTTTCAAATCTGGCTAATTGAATGTGTAGTCCTCGCCTCTCAAGAGAACTTAGCATGTTAGTCCTTTGGGCACAAGCATCCAAAAAAAAAAAAAAAAAAAAACCATACAACTTTATATTCACCCCCCACCCCTTACCTTTCTCCCCTACCCCATTCTGCCCTTCTAAGGGTATGAAGCCTCTGATTCCTGCTGGAAATGAAAATACCTTACCACGTCCCTTATCCTTAAAGGTTTTTAAGGCATGATACAGAAATGCGGGTCAGGCAGTAGAGGTTCTGAGGGAGAAATTTGCTCTAAGGCAGCCACATGGCTTCCTAGTTCCTCATTAGAGGGAAATTGGTCTCCGCAAAGGAATCTGGTTCTACAGAGGCACACAGAGTTTTATTTGTATGAACTACTAACCACCCCCTTGTGACCCATCATAGCCTTATATGTGGACTGCATTTCTTTGGTGATTATCCCATCAGCCTTTACTTTGGGATCCCCCATGTTAAGAGGCTTATCCCATTGCCTTACAGTTTGGAGGACATTGGATGTTCCCATTCTGGCCCTTGTCCTAGATTGCAGAGACTGCCTGGTCTAGAGAGTGCTATCTTTATCCTGGCCATCTAATGGCCCCAAGCACAACTTCCAGCACGGGGTCTCTCACCAAAAAAAAATATAGTAGAATGCTACACCTTGCAGGGAGGGGGGTAATCTTAAAAAGGAACCAGTCATTCTCTGGATGTGGGATCATAATCAGGCTGTCATTCTGTTCAGGAAGGAACAAGTCTAGAGTCACCTCAGCCTTTGAGTAGCTTTCTCCTAAGGTTTCATGGGATTTTATTGGCCTCAAGGAAGTCTCCTTGGTTTGGTCATAATGTGATAATTGAAACAGAAATACACAATAGCAAACCTCATTGTGAGGCATGATTCTGTCCCAGTTAAATGATCTGCACACTGGCTTAAAACATGGGGTCTCCTGTAAGAGGGCATAAGTGCTTTGTTCACTAAGAGCATAAACTCCCTAACTCCTTCATCAACCACATGTCTAACAATTCCTCAGCCAGTTGATCAAAGTACTCCTGGATATCCCTCTTTTCCCTCTCACTATGGGTCTATATCTTAGTATTCATTATAGAGGCATTTGCCCTCTAGTTGTTTCTAGTCTTGACTTAAAACTGGTGAATCTGTGCTCTCCTCCCTGGTGGGGCTCAGAGTGCTCTCTTAGCCTCCTAGTCCACAGGAAGGCAAACAACAACCATGGCACCATTTGGGCAATTGGTTAGACTTTATCCCTCACCAGTCAGCCCCCATCCATTGACTTGAGTCACGTTCATCAACAGGGAGGACCGGAGTGGACAACCTACTCCACCTTTCTGTACCACTTTGGTCAGAACATTTGCTACCAGGTCCCAAAGAGACCTACTTCATATTCTCAGACCCAGTCCATGAGCCCTTGCCTTTTCTCTCCCAAAAAGTCATTGTTTATCTTGACATCCTGCTTGTGGTGCCAGTTTGGGAAGGACCTCTTAGAAGATGGCGAGAAGTAACCAGATTCTTGACTGAGCAAGCAAGCAGGTTGTCTTGCCACAACTCTTTAGGTGCCAAAAGTAGAGGAAAGTCAGACAGTTTAGTACTCACAGCACAGCAACAGCAGAAACTTTAGCATAGCAGTGCATCTTCTGCCCCCAAATCCCACAGGGCAGCGTGATGGGACCAGATGGCAACTGCACCCTTAATGGGTTGTGTCACAGTTAAGGAACCTAGAGCTAAAGTCTCAGCCCCTTTTGGGGCAAGCAATAAACAAACGGACACTTCACACGGTGATCAATGCTGTGGTCACCTTGGCAGAAACTGTTCCAGGCCAGAGGACAGTTAAGCCTTGTAGTTTGGCACAGTCAGCAAGAATGTGCAGGAACCCAGGGCCCATGGTAGACCGCCTTTCCAAATGGTGATTCTGATCTTTCTATTTCCTATTCTTAGGAAATATATGTTGAAATGTGTAGTGACAAAAATTCAACTGAGTATCAAATAATTCAGAGAGATAATGTGTGTGTGTGTGTGTGTGTGTGTAGAAGAAGACAGAAAAAAGGAATAGAAAGCAAACAATAAAACACATGGGATAAAATGTTAATAGCAGGTGAGTCTGGGTAAAGTGTACACAAGTGTTCTTTATGCTATTCTCATTCTTGCACTTTTACTGAAGTGTGAAATTTACCAAAATAAAGTTAAACGAAAAACCCTCTCATCCCTTTACACTGACTCTATAAACACTTCCTTTCCATCTCACCAAAAACTATAATAACAATGACAGCAGTGATTACTTGTTAATTACAAAACATATTTCGTTCCCACAATTCTCCTCCCATATTTGAAAATATCAAGCCATATTTTTATGTGTGTGAACAAACATCGTGTTATTGCTCCATGTATATGCCAGCTTTACAATGGAAGTGGGGGTGGCGAAATCCCTGTACTTCAAATTAGTGCTTCAGAAAAAAAATCCATTAATTTTAGAACTGAGTGAAAAATAAAAATGCCTTCATCTAGAAATGAAGAACATGAAAGGTATTGCAAAGAGAGACATTGCTTTTTCTTCTGAAATTTTTGTCAAGTCATGAATAATTTGAGGATAAAGAAGGAGAAAGAGGGTCAAGAACAGAGGGAGATAAGGGTTTTGGATTGAAAATGTATTTTTTCAAGGAAGCCAGTATCAATTATATCTCTTTGATGACCAGTGTATAATTCTTATGTATTAGTGTGTACAAATGCAATAGCAGATTATTCATAATGACCCAAGAGATTAATTAATGTCTTGACATTTAGGAAAAGCTCTGAGGGTTGCAGGTGAAAGTATACTGAGGGCCCTCAGGACAGTTCTGACACACAGAAGATGCCCGATAAATGTGCACTGCAACCCAATTTGAAATGCTCACTGTCTTTGCTCTTTCTTTTTTCAGCTAGAAAATCTGGAAGCAGAAACCGCTCCATTGCCCTAAGTGGGTCTCATGCCATTCAGACCCTCACTGAGCTTAGAAGTCACCATCTATGTGGAAGCAGGTTGCTGCAAGAACCTGTGGGAGGCTCTAGTTTCCTAGGAAAATGCCTGCTTCTGAGTCATCAAAACTCGATCCTCTGTGGCCACTCCACTCTGCACATGTGAAGGATATGTCCACTAAGTCAAGTGCTGGGAAGGAAAGGTCTCTACCACACGAAAGAGTCCAGCTTGTGTACATAATCATGAGAAAGATGCCCAATGGGACCAAAACACACCATGGTATGTGAATTGGGGTCATCATAGGAGATGGCCCTTCTGTGTGTAATATTTTGTTTTCAAGCAAATATTTATGACCTCATCAAAAAAAATCAATTGTTAAATTCAGCATGGTGACATGTAAAGTAAGTGCTACCTCTGATCAAAGGACCTTGTGTGGAAAGCCCAAGACTTTATGTAGTCTTCTGTAAGGAATACTTTTTTCTATTTTCTATCTTTGACATTAACCTTAAAATTATATTCTGGTTAAGACATCATTTCCACCTTCATTTCTTGGTTTTGTATTCTTTTCAAGAATAACATCTCTTACCTAGCTCCATAATTGCAAGGGAAGAAATTAACATGAAACGTAATCTGAAACACAGCAATGTGTCAGCAGCAGAAAGGTCAATTCTTGGGCATTGCAGGTTCTTCCCAAGAGTCTTCATGGGAGATTGTCCATTCCCTTCTTTTATCTAAGTATTCATAAAAGGTAATAGTGGATCGATGAGCTCATCCCTTCATCTGTGGAGGAAGGCAAGCATTAAAATGTACTTACTTTTCATCTCTCAATAGTTTCTCCATACTGCATGCCCCCTTTGCATATTATTTTATCTTTTTTTTAACTCTGCTCAGCGCACTATGCCTTTCGAATCAGTGTGATAAAATGACAGATTTTTTGTTGTTGATTTTCAGAACGGCTTAAGCCCTTTTAAAAATATGGATCCAATAAGCTTAATCTCAAAACAGAAAGACTCAAATGACCATAGATAAAAATGGTTAATCTTTTTTTCAATCCTGTGGAGTTACTTGGACATGAAATATTAACAATGACCCAAAAATATTTTCCTGAAGATTGTGTTTACATAATGTCATTACCAATATGTTGGTCTTTTCGATCTTTGCTAAATGTCAAGATTTCCTTTGTAAAATACCAGTCTTCTAAGCAATTTCTGTAGGACAACCCTCCCCTTTGACTGGTTTTCCTTGGTATAAAATACAGTATAGATTTGGCAATCACCCATTTTATTTGATCTATGTAGACAGTCAAGTCAGTTGGCCCATGCAAAAAAGCTCTCCACTTTGAAATTTTGTCTGGTTTGATTAAATGAGTCATGTACATTGTAGTTATCTATGAAGACATAGTAGACAACAGGGTGCCAACTTCCCTTATAAAAGTATTTCTAAGTCTAAAAGCTGCCAATAGACTCAATATTAAAATTTGTATCCGTTCCTCAATATAATAAGACACAAATATGCACCGGACCTCCAAAGGCAATGTTTCAGGAAGACAGCTGTCTTGGATCAGAATAACTATATTTACTGTCTCAGATCCAGTTGGCTGTAATTATGTGGGCCCAACACATGTATCCATTGGATGAGAAGAAAACAAAAGCCAAGATAATATTTTATCTTGAATCTTGAATATTAAAGTCTTACGTTGCCTCTGATAATCTCTGTTTCTCAAATATTATGTCCCAGAATAGATATGCATTATTTTTAATTTTTTTCTGATCAAAGTAATTTAAACCAGAGCCTTAAAAAGTTTTAGAATGTTAAATAAATGCATTCGTGTATAAATACATATATGCATATATACACTATTAGAGCTTCCACAAGTAAAAGGATAATTCAAATGAAATACAATAAAGGAGAATGAAATATCTGTATGTAAGTCGCTGGGGAGGAAAATTCTTGCCTTTAATGAGTTGTAATAACATGAGTTCTCTCAAGAGATGACATAGTACTGCTTTCCGCTCATAAAGATGTTTCTCAACAATCATTTCTACCTAATGACCAGCTCTTAGTTAAAACATTCTAAAGTAAATAATAAATATGCTTTTCAATATTTTTCATTCAAAACCATTGTCACGAATTTGCTAGAACTGCCTTGCTATTCCATGGCAAATGGGGAATGTCAGCCCTGACTCAGTGGGATGAGCTAAAGTTCCCTTATGAAATCTGCCTATAAAGAAAATGTAATGTTCTGCTTGGTTCTTCCTTCTCATTTCACCTTCCCGTCCTTACAGATAGGATTTCTTCTGGTTTGACATTCCAGTGAAGCAGACCATAGATGTAAACTAAGGGTAAGATGTATTAGCCTTAGCTTCTCAGCTTCTCTACTAGCCACACATGCCCCAGCTAGGACTGTGCATTTACAGCCACAAATACTATCCTTTTCATAGAAATATCCACAAATAGGAAATGGGTGTCTTCAGGAATCCTCAATGCCATTGTAAAAGCACCAAGATTTTTGCCTAGATTTTTAACATAATTCTTTTCTCATGAGCCGTATTACTTCAGTGAGGGGAAAGGATGGGAACAAACACAAACCTTCATCAGTGCCTTGGCTAACCACTGTATTTTCCCTGGTAGGAGATGCTTCAGGATTATAGTGACAGAATACAGCATCCAGATTATATTTAAGACCACTGCCATTAGGACATTAGAGCCTAAAATGACAAGTCAGTTAAAGGGTCTAGCTTTGTGACATCCAACCAGGAGGCAGTTGAATTTAATTTGAAATGCTTTCAACCCAGTCATTGTTCACCACTGAGATCAAACTAAAATCACAAGGAGGTAAGTACATTGTTAGCTGTTCAAAAGTAAGCAAAACCAAATGGCAAAAGCTTAGTGTGCTATGGTGCATGGCAAATATTTAAGCTCTTGTCATGTAATGCCTTGGCATTTTTTAAAGGAGTCAGCAGATATGTCAAGTTCAATTTAATTTACCTAATATTGTGTCCTAGACATCTGAGTTACAAACATAAGGACCATCAACACTGAGGTTTTAGGATTATGAAGAGTGGATTGAGGGTGGACTGAAAGTGCATCCTATAACAAGGTACTTTTCAAATAACACTGAATAGCTACATATACATTTTAAAGGAATTTTTAAAAGCTCAGAAAAAAATTAAAATTGAATATATCAATCTTTGAAAGTATGTCTTGACTCAAATATATGAAAAGATGATTCTAGACCCTAGGCACATATTCAGAGAGAGATCGATTTTTCTGAGGTTCTTCCCATCACATACTTAATGCAAATTTAATAATATACTTTTTCAACTCACTTTGCATTTCCTATAACCTTGTGTGAAGTGAGAATTCCATTAAAATCTGCACTTGAAATTGCACCTAAACTTTACAAAGTTACAGAGGAAATTACTACTTCCTCTGCTCTTTGAGAGGGGCTTAGGTTTGCATTTCATAGCCAACCCATCTGGAAACCAGTGCTTAGAGCACTAACATCCCCATGCCCCTGACCCCACGCCTAGAAAAAATAGCCCTGTGATTTCGTGTGGTACAAGGGGTGAACTCCTTCCTTCTCTCCCAACCTCCAGAAACTTAGTTAAGTCTCTGATCCATTCACATCCAAAAGAGTGCCCCATCTGCCTGAAGACAAAATAAAACTCTATGACAATAGATTAAGATATTCGTAGACTGTACTACCAGGTCTGAAATAGTGCAAACGTTTTGCTATTTATTTGGGAAAAAAATGAACTGAGAATCAAGTGGAACCGTAAAGGTTAAGGGAGGAAGAAGAGAGTTTACTCATTTTTATCATTCTACCATCAGAATTATTTAGCATCATACTTCACTACTGCTCAGAGGAGCTGGTTGGCATTACTATTCTTTATACAAAGAGATTGTTTTTAAAAAGTGTGCATTTTGTAGAGCAGGTAGTGAACTATTCAAAGTTGGAACAGTTCTGTAGAATATATTAGACCAGAAACAGGACCTACAGAAACCACACTTGAATGCAAGCAAGTTTTATAGCTTTGTGTTTCAGTAAAAACCTCTATATACTTGTAGAAAGAACATAAAACAATCCTAAGTAGTATAAAAATTGCCTGAAATTAATCATAACAGCCCCAAATGTTTCAATGCAAGCATAGATATGCTTCGATTTTTCAGATGATGTGTCTTCAGTTTTGATTTTGAAAGAATGGTAATATTAAATATATGTCATGAGGGGAGATACAATTTTTGCAGGAACTGAATTTGCCTCTATACATCTCAGTGATTGCACACCTCAATGATTTGCTGTCATTCAGAGCTATCTCATGAGTCAAACATAGTTTGCTTCTCCCCCTACAATTATGGCCATGAAATCCAAACCAGGGCAACTGAAAAAAAAAGTTTATTGCTTAAGTTCCAACTAATAGTGTCACATTGTTAGCAATGTTTGCATAGCCTATACAGAATAAATGTATATTTGTCTTGTGGTTTCAGAGAAAGAACACAGAGGTCTTTTTGGAGACAGTAAGGAAAATTCATCTTAGTATCATCATATGCCCTGTAATAGGCATGTTTAGCAACAAAAAAATCCTCCAGGAAAAGATGTGCTTTAACATTACCTACAACTTCCTTCTTCTTACTTTGCTACTTGATTTTTGAAAGAACCTAAATCTTGAGAACAGGATATCGTATTTACTTCCAATTCTCCTAAAAGAAATTTCTGTTGTTTTCCTTCCAATACATAAATGTTTTATTCAATTAGCATTACCCACTAAAGCTAGAAAGTTTTTAATGAATACACAGGGTTACAAAATGCCAAATGGAAATGAAAAAATAAGTGATACAAACAGAGGAAGATAAGAGAAGAGAAAGGGAGGGAATAGAGGGGACACTAGGTTTCTGAGAGTGTGGATAAAATTGAACACAGTCACATTCATTGAACAACATGAGTGAGCTTCGTTAATATAAGCACAGTAAAACTGTTTTAATTAATGATTCCCAGAGAAAAGGGAGAGGAAATCACATTTGTGTGACCTGATGACTGAGATTTTACCATCCATAGTGGAGGGCGAAGCAGATGAATCACTGAGAAAAACAATAATTATTTTTCCCCATTTTGAGGAGGGAAGCAATGTCCCAACACTACATGATATTTGCAAAATTTGTATGTCTCATCGGCTCTCCTTTCTCTGGTTCCCTCAGAGATGGGCTTCTGGGATGCAGAGATACTTTTCACATTCCACTTCTGGTCATAACCATAACGTCACCACCCTGAACTGCTATGACATCAAAACAACCAAGCCTACAGGTCAGTTGGTGACTCACAGAAAAGACCAGTCTGCAAGTGCCTACATAGTTTTGGTTCCCAGAGATATTCCCATTCTGAGTTGGGAAGGGCCAGTTACAAGCATACGGTCTTTATTATGCCCTCAAAAGGTCTCTAATCAGAGGTTAACCTGTGGATCCCACTGGTTTTTACTTTCTCTAAATAAGACAATGCAATTTGCATGAAATTTCCATTATCCAGCGTAACACTGAAATGTAGTATTAATTTCTACAGTTTTCCTGGCAGATTAGTACATCTGACTTTTTTCTTGCCATGGTCAAGATATCATGCTCTAAAATCGGTGGACATTACTGCCTAAGGAATCTGACTACCAGAGACTTTAAAAGGAGAAGAGTTCCCATTTATAAAGTAAATTTGGAAAAAATGGTCAGTCAGA